GAAAACTAATCTCCGGGCGTCTGCGACGTCTCGCAGTGCCGAAAGTTAGTTTTTATTTTATATGCCGCGTTTCGTGTTCGGAACGTTTGCGGGATCGAAGATGTTGCGAGGTTTTTTTTTTAACCTTGCTTTGCAGGAACACTTGGGTTCGTTTCCGGATATTCGCAATTAAAAATTACATTCCTGTTTGGATGTGAGGTAGTTTTATGATTTGTGCTAGAGCAATTAGGACCGAGAGTTCGTGTAAGTTGTTTCCCCGAACGAAGCGTTTTTCGTTACGGTGCTTTGTGAAGTGTTGACCTTCTGAGATTCGTACGGCTTTAGGAGCTCTGGTACGAGTGTTTTCTTATACGTCGGATTTTGTAGGAAACTTGCTTCGGGAATAGAGTGAATCGCGAGAATACAGATCTTAGCCGATTTTCGACAAGTTTGCATTATTCGTTGAACGTATTGGCTTAGCGTGAAGGTTGTGTTCAGCCGCACAGCCAAGGTTGTATTTGGTAGAGGATTAGACCACGACACTTTCGTGCTACCGAAATTCACACTTGTCGATTTCCGTTAAATAAGGAAACTTAGGAAAACCCTAATTTTCCAGAGGAACCGGATCTCTGCGAAAGCCAACGAAAAGTAACCAAATAAATGCGGAAAAATATGAAAAACGTAATAAAACAAATTTAAAGAAAAAGTAGATCTTATTTCGATTTCGCGTAAGGGAGTTGCGATCATTACAAGGGTTTAAAAAGGCTTTGGCCGCAGGGCCGTCAGCGAGTTATCAACATAAAAACCTTAAACCTAATTGAGTCGCAGCTCGATAACAAAAGACGGAAAAAGATAAGAAAAAGGATTTGATTGATTTCGGACTGAACCTTATGAAAGGCTGCCTACGTACCCCTTTCGAGGATCAAGTCGAACGTAGTTCAGTTGGTAGAGCTGGACCAGAGATCGAACTGCCTGGGCGAGTTCGTCAAGTAATTGAGCGCCAGTCATAGAAACCGAACTTGTCGAGAAAAAGCCTAAGTTTCTAAGTGCGGAAAATTCTAAGTCTAGAAAAGTTGTAAAAGTCTCAGATGAGAGCTCTGGATTTCGTCCCTCTGCTTCTGCCCTATGCCTCTTGCTTATATACTCCCTTCCTTGGCGGTTTAGTCTTTCCATTTCGCCCAGATTCGAGTTTAATGGGAATCTTCCATTTATCTCGATCTTTCCTTTTTTCCCGCAGAAATCTTCTATTTATCCTCAAACTTGAAATTTATCTTCAAGTTTGAAATTTATTTTCTTTCTGCGAGTAAATCGCCAAAACGTCGTCGTATCTTCGGGTTGGACTTAGTTTAAAGTCGCGAGGGGCTTTTATCGCGTTTTATGACTTTCCGGGCCGTTTTGCGATAAATCCGTTTTACGACTTTAGACGAGATCGTTTCCTGATACGATGCCGTTTTTAGATAAGTTTCTCGAGTTAATCGTAAAGCTAAGCAATGTTCGATGTTTCGATTTAACGTTGCCGTTTTCTACGATTTACTCGGGGTTTTATTAAAAACGCGTTTTGTACGATTTTTACGAAAAAAATCTCAAATAAATCGTATAGTTTAGGCAATATTCGGTGTTTCGTTTAACCGTTGCCGTTTTATACTATTTCCTCGAGTTCTTTTTGAGAAAACAAATTTTTACGGGTTTTTTCGTAAAACTCGAACGATAGGACGGATCGAGACGAAACGGGAGACATTTCGACCGTGATTCGGAATACGATCGTGTCAAGGACGTATGCTTTGAATCAAGAATGTGGGAGATCGAGGCTCGGGATGGTCGGCTCGACGTACGGCGAGCTAGTTCAGCTTGGCCAGGTCGCCATATGGTGAACTAGGCGATAAGAACCTGTGGGGCAAAGTCAGCACCTCTTAGTTCGCCGTTGGGGAGTCTCTAGTTCGCCTGCCGGCGAACTAGTCGGGAGGTTCCTAGTTCGCCTGCTGGCGAACTAAGCCGAGCTGGCTTAGTTCGCCAGCAGGCGAACTATTCGGGACGCTCCTAGTTCGCCTGCTGGCAAACTAAGCCGAGCTGGCTTAGTTCGCCAGCAGGCGAACTAGTCGGGAGGCTACTAGTTCGCCTGCTGGCGAACTAGTCGTGACTAGTTCGTGTTTTTCGGCGGTTTCGGTTTTTCACGATTTTGTAAAACGATTCACGAGTTTTATAAAACGATCTTCGAGTCTTATAAAACGATTCTCGAGTTTTATAAAATGATTCTCGAGTTTTATAAAACGATTCTTCGAGTTTTTATAAAACGATCTTCGAGTTTTTATAAAACGATCTTCGAGTTTTATAAAACGATCTTCGAGTTTTATAAAACGATTCTCGAGTGTTATAAAACGATTCTCGAGTGTTATAAAACGATTCTCGAGTTTTATAAAACGATTCTCGAGTTTTATAAAACGGTCTTCGAGTTTTATAAAACGATTCTCTAGTTTTATAAAACGATTCTTTGAGTTTTATAAAACGATTCTCGAGTTTTATAAAACGATTCTCGAGTTTTATAAAACGATTCTTCGAGTTTTATAAAACGATTCTTGAGTTTTATAAAACAATTCTCGAGTTTTATAAAACGATTCTTCGAGTTTTATAAAACGATTCTCGAGTTTTATAAAACGATTCTTCGAGTTTTATAAAACGATTCTCAAGTTTTATAAAACGATTCTTCGAGTTATATAAAACAATTCTCGAGTTTTATAAAACGATTCTTCGAGTTTTATAAAACGATTCTTGAGTTTTATAAAACGATTCTCGAGTTTTATAAAACGATTCTTCGAGTTTTATAAAATGACTCTTCGAGTTTTATAAAACGATTTCTTTTATATTTTCTGCGGAGACTTTTTGCCATTGATTCTGTTGTGACCGATTTTGACACCAACAAACTAGAGGTGGGAAAAAGTACTTTGTGACCTTCAGAGATGACTGCACAAAATACTGTTATGTATATCTATTACGTAGTAAAGATGAAACCTTAGAAAAATTCAAAGATTTTAAATTCGAGGTCGAAAATCACCTTAAAACAACTATTAAGATAGTTATAAGCGATAAAAGAAGCGATTGTAATGGGCCATTCAATTAATTTTGTAAAGAACATGGAATAATCCATCAAACTACAGCTCCTTATTCACCAGAATCTAATGAAGTTGTTGTACGAAAAAATCAAACTCTAAAAAAGATGATGAATGCAATGTTTCAAACACTTATAAACGCAAACATATCTCCCAACTTCTTCACATTGGAGAAGTTATAATCCATCAAAGACAGTGTATCACCCTTGAACCGTGTATCTCCCACAGAGTAAAGTACTGTTGGCTCAGTTAATTAACTTTACTGGTGGCTACCGTCGTCAGATTGTCTATGAGAGTATTCCAAACACTTATAAACGCAAACATATCTCCCAACTTCGTCACATTGGAGAATCAGGTGATGCAGTCTTCATAGAATGACTCATGCAATGCAGTTAGGTGTGGAATGTCTGTGTAATATTTTTCATAATTTTAATATTATAATAAATCAGCTTTATAAGAAAAAGATTTATCCAATTTTAAAAAAATCTAATCAATAAGATTGATTTGAGGTTACCGCGGCTAGGCAGTGGCAAAGCAGTCGTGGCAGGAAAGTATTCTGATATACCCTAGTTGGAAAATAACTATTCTAAGTACCCCACCATTTTTCTCACTGTCCCACTTTTTTTTTTTGTTCGTAGTAGTTTCTAGTAATTCAAGGTAGTTTGTTTTTTGTTCATAGTAGTTTCTAGTAATTTAAGGTAGTTTCTAGTAATTCAAAGTAATTCAAAGTAATTCAAAGTAGTTTCTAGTAATTCATATTACACATAATACTAATTCATTAAGGGTAATTGATATTTTAACCATACTTAGACTTTGAGCAAAAAAAAAAAAATCAAATTTGTGATGGGTTAAAATAGAATGAAGATGGTAGTGAGTGGGGCAATGTAGAATTTAGTCCTCGTGGCACTTGGGTTCGTAGGAGTTGGCGGCACTGGAGGAGAGAACCGGCGAACAGGGTGAAACCTCTATTATCGATATACTGTCCACGTAGAACATTCTGATGGCAGTTATTAAAAGTTCCTTGTACTTATTTCTCAGCTTCTATTTTGCTTGACTAAACAAGCATTTGTGATTGAGATACACATTTGTCGTGTTTAAAGACAATTCACTGCTTATAAGGAGAAATTGTATATCCAAGACATGGATCAAAGGAGGCGTTTTGATACAGACGATGAAGAGTACAATGGTTTGAATGATTTTTCTCAAAGAGGGATTTCTCTAGATGATTCGTTGGGACTGATGATTGTATTTACCCAATACAAAATTTATTTAGAAAGGTCAGTTTGTAGAAAATGATGCTTAAAATTTTGTAAGGTGAAGGGTTGACGGTTGAGGTTTATAATTTGCGGCAACAAGAGGGTCAGCGAAAATGTAAAAGTTCAGTGGTGAGGTGTGACTTAGGTCACACGATTATGATATGAATTGTGATGTGGTTCCTTTTGAAATAATTCTTTTTTAAAAAACTATGAGAAATTGTTTTTAAGACATTTGATAAAATTATAAGAAAGAGACTGCTCTCTATAAGAGAAATGGGAGAAATTAAAGGACATTTGTTGAAGCAGAAAACAACATAATAGGAGAGCATTATCTTATCCAATTATTGTTATGTTGATTTATTCTTTAAACATTCTTTAAAAAAAGTAGCACTTCATGTTACATAAGATTTTGATTGAAAAAATCAAACAGAAACTTAACTATATGTATTTTGAACTTGCTCGGCAATAAAAGGGTAAAACTCAAACCTAAAAGTACAGCTTCCACCGACAAATCTCGCTCCTCGTTTATTATTCAGACAATCTTGAAAACGCAACCTACTAAAACCCAAACACTCTTCACAAGCATATTCTGATAAGTCTTTGGTACACTGCACCATTCCATACACCGTATCACCCTTGAACTGCGTCTCCCCCACAGAGTAGAATGTATCTGGCTCAGTGTAATTAACTCGACTAATGGCTAAAGTCGTCAAATTATCCAGGAGAGTATTCCAAACACTTGCAAACCCAAGCTTATCTCCCAACTTCTTCGCATTGGACATACAAAAGATATTGTCGTAATCGATCATTCCAGTAGTCTCTTTGCCCGCAAACGTGAGGAGACATTGGTCATACCATATTATCCTCCCCTTGTACCACGGACATTTCCTAAGAAGCTGTAATATACATTCAAAATATCCACACCACAATCAACAACGAGATTGTTAGACTAATCCCTTATATATTAAAGGAGAAACATTTAAAAAATTGTAACCTCAATTTTGTAATAATAAAAAAAGACCCCATGCTTAGGTGTCACTCAATTAGGTAGTCAATTACATTCAATTGAAAAATAAGTAGGTCCACATTCGATTTTTATATGTGGCTAGATACATTCGTTGATCAAATTATATGATATGATGATATGATATGATATGATATTTAGGATAGAAACATTTATGATTGTTCCCCTAGATATAATTACTATTTTATTTTCTTTCCATAAATAAAACCTACGGAATTACCATAAATGACTAATATATATATGACACTTAATGATTCTAATAACAAATATTTGATAACAGTTTATATATCCTCCATCATTTCTCTTTAATTTTATATTATTAAAATAAATTAAACAATCAAATTAGCTATAAAATTAAACTTTAGATTTTTTTCTTATAGGTTATATATTGAATTTAAAAAACGAGAATAAATAACTAAACTATTAAAATTATTATGTTAAAAATTAATGATCAATAGTTTAACATTTTTATTATAAAAAGATATACATGATTTTAAAACCATATAAGTAAAAAGTATCATTCAATAATAAAACAAATATATATACAGATTAAACTATATACCATATAAGATTACATAAATATTTTAATTTC